AAAAAAAAAAAAAAAAAAAAAAAAAGGATACTCTTTCAAGAATGCACTAACTGAAACAGTTAAAACATGTAAGGTGACACTGGGTGAAGAGCTGATTTTGCAAGGGCAAAAAACAAGTTCAGTTCATTTGCCACGTCGAGCCAGTCTACACTGTCACCACATTTTTGTCCTTCCTGTGGTTGCACTGATCTGAAGATGTAGAATCACAGAAAATTAGGATTAGAAGGGACCTCAGGAGGGCTCTAGTCCAACCCCCTGCTCAAAGCAGGACCATCCCCAACTAAATCATACCAGCCAAACCTTTGTCTAGCCACGTCTTAAACCCTCCAAGAATAGAGAGTCCACAACTTCTCCAGGTAACCTGTTCCAGTGTTTTTCTACCCTCCTAGTGAGAATTTTTTCCCTAATATCTAACCTAAACTTCCCGTGCTGCAACTTGAGAACATTGCTCCTTGTTCTGTCATCTGCCACTACTGAGAATAGTCTAGCTCTGACTTCTCTGGTACCATCCTTCAGATAGTTGAGGGCTGCTATTAACCTCCCCCCCACAGATCTTTTCTTCTCCAAACTAAATAAGCCCAGTTCCCTCAGCCTCTCCTCAGAAGTCATGTTCTCCAGCCCCCTAACCATTTTTATTGCTCTCCGCTGGACTCTCTCCAATTTCTCCACATTTTTTCTGTAGTGAGGGGCCCAAAACTGGACACAGTATTCCAGATGTGGCCTCACCCGTGCTAAATAAAGGGGAATAATCATTTCCTTCAATCTGCTGGCAATGCTCCTACTAATGCAGCCCAGTAGGCATTGTAATATGCAACAGAATGAGCATTACCACAAGCAGCACTAGGTCACTGTCTCATGAAGGAACTTTGCAGATACCAAGAAACAAAGGAAGAGGAGGTTCAAACAGGAGGAACAGTTAGATTCAATTCAGGTCAGGTCCCCTCCAAAAAAAATCAGAATATCAATACCAAAAGTTTTCCATCATCCACTGAGACTGCCTCACAGAGGATCTCAGAAGACCCTAGGACAGGCTTGTCCAACATACTGCCCGCTGGCGGCCATGCAGTCCACCAAGGCATTTTCTGAAGCCTGTGGTGCTGCAGTGGGAAATGAAAGTAAACATTGTTTACTTTCGTTCCCACCCCGTCCCTCCCCCAGGCTGCTGAAGGGCTGAGGGAAGGGACAAGGTTCCCACATGCACCACATCAGCTTGACATTGCCGACATGGTGCATGTGGGAGGAGGAGTGGCCATGTGCCGTTCGGGACCGGATGAGCCCTGCCACAGCAGCAGGGGCTCAGCTGCACTTTCCCTCTACCTGCGCCAGTCAGTCCCAAGCGGCACACGGCTCCGCCACCGCCTCTACTGGCTGGTGCCAACCCGGGCAGGTCTGTCCCATCCTGAGCAGCATGTGGCCGAAGCCTGCTTCCCATGTGCTGCTGAGGACGGGAGAAGGCCAGCCAGGTTGGCACCAGCCAGCAGAAGTGGTGGCGGAGCCGTGTGCCACTCGGGACTGACTGGTGCAGGCAGGGGGAAAATGCAGCTGAGCCCCTGCCGCTCTGGCTGGGTTCGTCCCATCCCAAGCAGCACACAGCTCTGCCACTGCTTCTGCTGGCTGGTGCAGACCCAGCCAGGCTCCTCCCATCCCCAGCAGCACATGGGAAGCCAGCACGGGGAGACCTCGGCAGGCAGGGTCCTGGCTGACCTCTGTGGGGCGAGGCCGCAGGAGCCGGTGTCTGCCGGACCCTGTGCTCCGGGCTC